CTAAAATATGAATATTTATCGAAATTCTAATAATCGTATATTAATATGTGCAATTGCGAATGACCATATACTTTTATATGTTTGAGCATCTACCAAAATAAATATGAACATTCATCAAGAAATAATTTTCCAATCCAAACTATGAAAAAGGATGAACAGTATTACATAAATGACTTTGTACTAATATATAAATGAACATGTATATTAATCATTTATTAAAATGTGTCTGACATCATACTAATATATAAATGAACATCTAACAAAATGGAAATGAACATTCATTAAAAATATATATATAAAAACTACAAACTATATTTATTAATGCTTACATTTCTTCAGAATCTTTGTTTTTTTTCTGAAACTGTTCCTTCGCTCTGCAAAAAAAATTAAAAAAAAATAAAAATAAATAAAGAATGTACTGATTTATTTACTAGTTTTGAAAAAAAATTACTAAAACTATAGTATAATACTTATGTTGATATACATTTTTCATGGTTGATGTTTCGATTATGTTTTCGAAATATATCGCAACAAAAAATTAGTAAAACCTAGGGTTTATACTGCTTTTCGTTTCAAATTTAAACAAAATAACTTACTCTTTCGGATTTCGCCTTGTTTTGTTGAATTTTATTGTGATTGAACAATTTTTATGATAATTTTGTAACAATTTTGCAATAAAAGCTTTTGATGAGAGAGAATATGGTAAAGAAATGGGTATAGAGAGAGAAAATGTAGAGAAATGGGTGAGGAAAGAGAAAATGATTTAAAATGCCGTGTTGTTGTTGGTTTTATTTTTAATATATATGTGTGTGTGTGGTAGGGGTTGTTAAACAATTTACTGAGATTAATAGAGGTTAGTGGTTAGTGAAGGAGTGGGATCAAACAACGTCGTATTGCATGGGGTGTAGGTAGAAGACCCTACACTAGGGTGTAGGGCTCAACTATTAAGCAAAGAGCTAAGGTGGTAAATTTTGATAATTAGTTTGTGGTAGTTACTACGGGTGTGTTCTATATATTCACCTGATTTTTTTAGTTGTAATTTGTACTTCGGTAACCTTTATCAAAATTTATTTTTCTTGAACTTAACTTATCTGAACTTATTAGAACCAAAATAAGTGAAAATAAGGTGAACAAACAGGTCCGAAAACGTAAATTATAGTCTTAACAATTAGCCAATTAGTCTTTTGTGATGGATGGAAGCCTCAAAGGGGTATATGCCCATTAATTAGTGTACTTACAAAAATGATTGAGGCTACAACTTCACCATTTTAAAATCTTGAATTTTTAAAGCAAATTTTGGTTTTAATTTTTTCAATTTTTTTTTATCTATTATTGTTAAAATGATCATCATATATAAAACTATTCAAAACACAATTTAAATTATATATTAACAATTAACAATATTCAATTATCTATGATTTATTATTATATGATGTTAGAGAATTTTTTTTCATTAACAATCTGCCCAGCGTATATAAAAATAATAGAAAGTGTACTCCAAAAATAATTAGATTTTTCATACTCTATATACTTTTTACTTTTTTTTATTTATTTCTTAAGCCATAATCATGATAAATTAATACCTAAATATTGTTAAACATTTTATGTGACCATAATTTTCATACTATTGAATTGATATAATGATTTTATTTTTTATTTTTTTTAAAAAAACATTTTGAACTAATCATTTGATTCATTTGTGATAGAAGCCTGTAAGAGATACTTACTGATTAGGGGATTTTGCTCCCACCAATCGGAATGCGCCACGTGGGCCAATCAGGTCCTGCCAAGTGTCCCCCAGTTGGAACTGTCAGGGCTTGCCACGTGGCACACGCTTATTCGTCCACCTTGGACCTATTATGTCATGACATGTGGCATACTCCATGCCTAATGGAGAAACCGGCCACCCAGGCCCAACTTCCGAGGGAAGCCCAATCAGCCCTAGGTTAACCTAAACCTAGGATTGACACGTTTCCCAAGGTTATAAATACCTCCCTTAATCCTCATTAAGGGAGATTACATGATTTACATGCTGATTACGTTAAAAACTCACATTAAACACTCTCACCTAGAGAGACTCAATCACTTTAATTTCCGCATTAATTACTCCTTAATCAAGTACTAACTTGACCGTTGGAGGCGGAGCTCCCACCACCAGGAGTCTCCGTTGTTTTGCAGGTACAGGCGTCCGGTTCCAGTCTCGGAATTGTAACTCTCCCGTAGGACATCAGAAAACCCCGGAACACTTACCTAGCTCGGATATTCATTTTAAAATATTAAATATGAATTTCTTAATGGAGGTTACATCACTTACATGCATGCTAATTAAAATCAAGCAAGCATTATGTGCATAAAATGCTATTTTTATATAAGTTGGGGGGGTGTTTGAGGGGAGTGAAAAGCTAATGTATGATCTGTGCACCCGGGTGCGCCATGCACATGGTGCACCTGGTTAAATAAAAAAAAAGGCGAAAAGAACATTTAGATGTTTGAAAAAGAACATGTAGGTTTTTGAAAAAGAACATGTTTGTGTTTAACAAAGAACATGCATTATTAAAGAACATAAGACATTACAAAAAGAACGTGATAAAAACTCTATTAAAATTTTATGAAAAAATACACATTAATGGAAAAAATCTTTACCAAAGATATCATTTCCCCAAAAATTGTTTTTCTCTCTCCAAAAATTAACTTTCCATAATAATTTTAGTTTTCTCTCTCTAAAATATTTTCAACTAAGAAAAAACCAAGATTTCATTTCAAATTAAATTTCAAAATTCATAATAACATATGTTAAAAGAGCATAAAATATAATGTAAAGAACATATAATTCATACCCGAAGAACACATATCAAACTCAAAGAACATACGATAATAAAAAATAATGATATATGATAATTCAAAAAAGTGTGCATCACTCGTTACTTTAAAGAAAATATGAGCCAAATTCAAAGAACATACTTTGTATTATTGGAACCCAAAAATGTTTGAAAAATGGAAAGTGTCCATTAAGGATAATAATTTAAAACTGAAAGCATTTTAAAGGGAATAATTCCCTATAATTTCGCCCATATTTTTTTTATTTTCCACTATTTTTTTTTATTTTCCATTAATTTAATGCTAATTAGTTATGCCACATCACCAGGTGCACCATGAGCATGGTGCACCCTGGTGTATTATACAATTTTCAATGAAAAGCTAATGTCCAAAATAAAAACTACCAACGGTATCCTCCTTCACTTTATTTTTCATTTTGAAAAAAAAAAAATATAAATGGCGTATGCATTAAAAAATGTCAATGATTGATAAACCTTGACATAATTAGAGAAATTTAATTATTGATAATTAGTTGATTAATTTAGAAACAAAATTAGCAAAAAAGATTAAATAAAAAAATACTCCTATTATTACAATATTGTTAAATCTAATTATGGTGCAACATCATTCTATATAAAAAAGTAATGAGTATGTGCTATAAAAAAAGGGTTACTAAATGTATGTGCATGACAATAATGAATACATAGTTTAATTATTGCACGCATCATGAGTACATGAAGCCAGTCATTAACAACTTAACTACGTAGTTCGGAGTATATAATTATACGTGGAATGCTCCTTCGGTTTGAAGAGTATAAACCATTGGACCATTTGAGGAGTCCACCATATATTCTCTTATTGATAATTGAGGGTTAAATAAACCCAATTTTCGTCTACATAAGGTTCACAAACCCACCAACAATAAGAGATTAACAATTCGTAGATAAAAGCTGTAGAAATCACCAAACCGTAGGTTTATGTCTAGCAACAATTGCAAACATTTAAACGTCGGTCTAATCGATAAGTACAAGCCCTATGTGTCCTCAACAAACTGACAAAATTCCAGCACGATTTTGACGGATGATTTTATGGCAATAGAAAAGTTGTTTTGTGAAAAATCGAAAATGAAGAAGCTCTCAAACCCCTATTCTTTTCTCTATTTCTTTTCTTGTTGTCCCTCTACCTTTCTTATTGCTTTTGATACCACAAATAAACTCTCCCAACTACAAGCTTATTTTTTAGAAGTCAAATGTCTCAACACTTGGATAAACACATGAGGTCCCTTTTGGGCTCAAATTACAAAATTTATACGTGTCACTTATATGGACTAGATCGATATCAATTATGCATAATAGATTACTCGTATGAAATAAATTAAGGTGTCGTTTGGTTCACATGGAAATAATAAGAATTTTCCCCGAATTACAAATTTATGGGAATTAAATTCCTATAAACAAATCCATGAGTATTTCCTAAAATTGTTTGGTTAATAATGAGGGAAATCTATTACTCTATACTAATCGTTGGAGCATTATTATCTAATTTTTATTGTTATGCAAATTTTTCTACACACTTCAAATCAATTAATCAACATACTTCATTCTTTATTCATCATGGGTTGACTATTGACTTACATTTATATAGAAACTTCTCTATTTTAATTACTTTTCCATATTATGTTTTTAAAATCAAGCATAGTCGGGCATTATCCAGTAACTTTCTATGAGAAATTCTAAAAGGTCTCACATTTTTGTCAAACAAACAAGCTCTAAGAGTTTAAAGAACAATTCGAAACACAAATCACCCTAAATTACAATGACTACTACAATAACGCTCTAATCTACAGTACTATATAAAGAGAAAGGGGTTCTTGGGTAATAAATTTGCTCTTTCCCAAAATGCCCTTCTCAATTTGCAAAATTACATCTCTTATTTTTTTTTTAGGAAATTACCTCTCTCATCTACAATTAAAAATTAAGATTTTTTTCTTAAAAAAATTACCTATCATGATTACCCTATAATAATTGTTCCACTTCTTCCACATAAAATTATATCTTCAATTGCTCACACTCCCCATTAAAAAAATAAAACTGCTCTTAATTTATTTATTTATTTTTTTGTGGGAAAAATTCCTCCTAAATTTGCTCATTTTTTTTTTTTATTTTTTTATTTTTTTTTATCTTCTTTCTTTCTCATGCTTTTAGTAAATATTTTACCTGTATTATTAGGTTCACAACTCCTAATACACATGACTGATGTTTTTTTTGGGTGATTTTAGATTGATGGCAGCATGGGTTAATTTCTATTTTTTTTCCCATCTAATTTCTTATATGGTACACGCACTATAAATTTGTGTTCCTTTAAGGCCTCAACCAAATATTCAACGTTGAACCACTTATCAGCCTAGCTCGACCCGTAAAATCCGGTCACTTCGTTTTTGTTCAAAAACGCACTCTGCTGCTCACCTTCACGCCAAAATCCAAAACAGAAAAACACTTGCACACCAACTGTTTGACAAAAAGCCTAAGAGAAGAAAAAAGAGAGCAAGCTTCAAAAATTTTCAATACCTCTCTTTCATAGAACAAATCACTTCTCCTTCAATTAAAAGCAAAGGAGCTTTTTTTCAATTGGATACATTGCAATTGTAAGTCAATCATGCCCAATTTAGCGTCTTCTGTTTCTAGGGAAACTAAATCCATTAAAATTCTATGTGCAGTTGTATTAAAGGGTAATTGGAACCAATTTTTAAAACCCCAAATTGGTTCTAATTTGAGTTCAGTAAAAGTTGAGAAAATATTATCACATCTTTCATTAGATTATTATGATTCATGGGTATTTTATGAATGGGTTGAAAAGATTCCTGGGTATAAGCATTCCCTTGAATTTACTTGGTCTATGATTCATTTGCTGACAAAACACAACCATTTTAGAATTGCACAGAATTTGCTTCAGAAAATTGCTCTTAAGAATTATTTATCATCCCCCACTGTTCTGCATGCCCTTGTGGGTGCCCAACATGAACCGGGTTCGAGTTCGCAAATTTTGAGTTGGTTAGTGATATATTATGCTGATTCTAAGATGACCCAGGATGCTATTCAAGTGTTTGAGTACATGAAAATTGATAGGATTAAACCTCATTTACATGCTTGTACTGTACTTTTGAGTTCTTTAGTGAAGTTGGGGTTGACTGCTACCATGTGGAAAATGTACAATAAAATGTTGAAACTTGGGATTGATCCTAATATTCATGTGTATAATGTGTTGCTTCATGGTTGTTGCAAGTCTAAGGATGTGGAAAAGGCGGAACAATTGTTGCATGAGTTGGAATTGAAGTGTATATTGCCTGATCTTTTCACCTATAATACACTGATTTCTTTGTATGTGAAGAATGGTAAACACTATGAAGCTTTGTCTGTTCAATACAGGATGGAAAATGCTGGTGTGGCACCCGATATTGTGACTTATAATTGCCTATTATTTGGATTTTGTCGGGAAGGTAGGATGAGGGAGGCTTTGAGGCTTTTTAATGATATCAAGGGTGCAAAACCTAACCTTGTGACATATACCACTTTGGTTGATGGATATTGTCGAGCAAATGACCTAGAGGAAGCATTGAGGTTGTGCCAAGTAATGGAGGCTAAAGGTGTCTATCCATCAGTTGTTACTTATAATTCGATTCTACGCAAACTTTGTGAACAAGGGAGGATACGGGATGCAAACAAGCTTTTGAATGAGATGAGCGAGAAGAAGGTAGAGCCTGATAATGTTACTTGCAATACATTGATAAATGCTTATTGCAAGATAGGAGACCTGGAATCTGCCTTAAAAGTCAGAAACAAGATGTTAGAGGGTGGGTTGAAGGTTGACCAATATACTTTTAAGGCACTTATACATGGTTTCTGCAACGCTAAAGAGATAGATAAAGCAAAAGAGCTGCTTTTTGATATGCTTGATGCGGGTTATTCTCCAAGTTTTTGCACTTATTCTTGGATTGTAGATGTTTACTGTCACCTGGATAATGAAGAGGCAGTAGCAAGACTGCCAAATGAGCTTGCAAAGAGAGGTCTATTTGTTGACATCTCAGTGTATCGAGCTCTTATTAGAAGTCTGTGTAAAAAAGACAGAACTGAATGGGCTAAAAGAATTTTTGATTGTATGGAAGAGAAGGGAATGAAGGGAGACAGTCTTGTATACACTAGCTTGGCATTTGCCTACTTTAAAGAAGGGAAGAGAAGGGAGACCTCAGAGTTATTAGATGAGATGTACAAGAGGAGGTTAAGTGTAACATTAAGAATATATAAATGTTTTAGTGTTTCAAAAGCAAGCAAGAGCAACTTAATAGAGGTCTTTTGGAATCACTTGTTGGAAAGAAAGCTAATCTCAAAGAATGTTTACAAGCACATGCAAGACCTAAATTGACCTCCCATTGAGCTGAGTGACTTTTGTATCCTGGCATTTCAATGCAGCATGTCGAAATTGGACAGGGATACCCTGTTCTGGGAAAGAATGACAGGATATAAGTAATGTTGCTCTGTGTTCATTCAAGCTTTCTAGCTCAACTACCTTCTATACTGGTGTAGGTAATATAAATTATTGTACTACCTAACTCAGTACAGTTATTACGAAATGATTTGAAGTTATAAAGATGTTCTCTTTTATTTAATAGAAAATTATTCAAAGTCTAGAGTAAATTTTATGGTGTAGTACTTTGACCACCGTCAAAACGGTCCTGTCCTTGTGTCTTTGTGAGCTTTGCTGTTTTCACTGTATCAAACCTAGAAGAAGACATTTTTTTATTTTATTTTAGTTACTACGTATTTATTTATTTATTCATTTTTTATAATAGTCATTTTCTGGGATCTCTACGAACAATTGGTATGCTTAAAGTTTTTTTACTTTGTTTTAAAGCTTAAATTCGTTTAATTTGTTATGGAGTATTTTGTATGCGGTAAGGAATTGTTGTTGTGTCATACTCAATTACTCATCTAGCTCCATGGCTAAATTTGTGATAAAACCACGAGTCAATAGGTGCTACTCGTATTAATTTTTAGGTAAAATCACATTTCGGTAGTGTAGTATGTCAATAGTATGAATGACTATGGTAGTATTACTAGTATATATGTCTTAAATGTATATTTCTGATTGAATCTTATGTACAAATTTGCATGTTCTATTTCGTTTAAGAATTGTTACTTTTTTGTGTCAAAAATGGAATTTTTACTCCTTGTTAGCTTCAATGGCAGCAAGGAGTTGCTGTATTGTTTCCTATGTTGTTATTTGCTAAGTTTTTAATAGTACTTTCTGTTTTTGGAGTATGTAACTGAAATTCTTTCCTTATCAGGTATTGTGTTGATCAGTGGTTTCTTCTAGGTGACCAAAGCACCAAACTATATCATAACTTGTGGAAGAAAGCCAAGAAACTTTCAAATGGGGAATCAAGATAGTAACAGATGATTCAGAAATATGCTCTTACAAGTCTTTTACCTATCAAGGTGTTCAATAGTGTCTTCATGACTGTGTTTACATATATGGTCAAGGTGCGAAAGATACATACATAGCTAAACTTGTAAAGATGTGGGAGTCAAAACAGGAGCAAAGAAAGGGAAAGTTATATGGTTTTTCTGCCCAATAGATGTATGCAATTCCTTAAGGAGTACAAGCCATTTTGGAATGAGCTATTTATGGCTTCTGGTGAGGGCTAAGGAGTTTCCAACATTATTCCTCTGGTAATTTCTCCTACCTTCTTTGTTCACTTTCCTAGTGATTTCCCATGCCTTGCAAGCTAACAAATTGTATTTTGGGAATCATTGTGAATGCTTCACTTGTCAAATTTATGCACTTTATGTGTCCAATGAATATATATTGGTTGAACAAAATTAGGCAGTTTTGTTCTAACTACTCCAATTTGCTTTATGTGTCTATTTAACATTTCCCTTGTTTTTGTTATTCGTAAGTGAAAATTCTCTTTCTCTTGGAAGAGATCTTGTAGATGTTGTAATAAGGGCACATATCCAAACGAATCAGTAGGCCCAATAGCCATACTGTAGTCAGAACTTTTATGGTTGGATGAAGCTATTGATTGCTGTAAGCAAATGATGTATATCATTAATCAACCTTGTATAGGTCTAGCTGTCCAATCTATGGACATGGTGAATCAAAGTTCATCGAGACTTTGTTAAGAGCAATGTTTTTATTCCCTTTTGGCAAGCCGGGTATAATTTTGTCTAATACTAGGACGCTCCCTGCAAGAACACTCTGTGAATATGGATAGGGTTACATGGTCCAAATGTTTTAAAAGAAATTATGAAAATTATCTTAGTTTTCTCCCCTTTTTGTATATTAAGCTATTGGGAAATCCAATGTTGCACGTACTGCAAAAGTGCAAAGGATAGAAGGAACACTCTTCTATCTAAATCAGATTTGGCCAAGGCTAACTACTATGTTTCCCATATCCTTGATGTTGGAGATCTGAGGATATTAGATATTCTGATTAGTTTCCTGATATCATTGACAAGATAATAGGTTAGTGTAAGCTGTATGGTTTTTATATGTCTTAGTTAGATTACTTGTACTTTAGAGAAATCTTGGTAAAACGTATAGGATTTCTACTTGGCTTCAGTTCTTATTCTTTTTTTTTTTTTCCCTTCTTTTCTCATGGTATATTGACATTGAAGTGACTTTCTTGATAAAGACCGAATCAGGTTTATTGCAAACAATGCAATAATGGCATCAATGGGAAGTCAAACTTGTTATGGTTGGGTTTGTTGAAAATGTGAATTTTCTTACCTAGGAGGGTAATGATTTTTCGCTGTGTTTGCTTGAGTGCAAGAGTATATGAGTTAGAGTTTTACGGACTATTACTAGAAGAGCGCTTCTTGCTAATTTATTGCAAGACAATAAAAAGCTACCTTCAGAAAAGTAAAAATTCAATGTTCTCATACAAGATTTTACCAAGAAAAAACTGTAGTTGGTCTTGCACTCTTGCCCTTGACGTTTGTAATATACCTTCTATTTGAAGTGTTTGGATTTTATGTTGATTCTTTATATTCTGTTGTCCACAAATCATATTATATATGCTTGTAATGTTAATATCTGTAATCTTTTCTCTTTCGTATTTTAATGAGCAGGCAGTTGGTTATTTTCTTTATTGTTTTGCAATGTGTTCTTTATAATCTGTTATTCTATTCATCTCTTGAAATTATCTGAATTTATATGTCTATCTTTCTGATATTTCACAACACAACACACCACATGTACAATTTTTTTTCCTTTTTACCTGCTTTACTTTCTAATGGCGGTTATAGACAGTTATGTTCTCTCTTGTTATATACAAGCAGACATTTTATGTCTTACCATTGAAATAGCAAACATTTTCTTAAGTCCATGTGTATGCCTAGCTTGTTCTACTGTTTGTTTTGAACAGTGAGTGACCATTTAGCCCTAATTTACTGGATAAAAAGAAGATTCTGCCCTTGCGTGATGCTGCAATATTAATATTATCTTGAATGTTGACTAAGATATGGGAAGACCTCCATGTTGTGACAAAGAAGGTGTTAAAAAAGGGAATATGGGATGAAATGGGCAAGCCTGAAACAACTAGGGATAAGATGTTACTTGAGCCTGAACAAGAATGCATAGAATTATAGAAATATACACGAGAAAAGTTGATGTGGCTAACCGGTCTAGAGCTCAGCTACAACTGGCTATATATTGATGATCAAAGGCAGAACTTGCAGCCATTTATTCTGCAATTGGAGAACTACCATTACATATCACATATATAATATTTGCTATGATTTATTTGAGAACTTGGTAGGATTATTAACCTTTACTACTTTTTAGAATGCTTGATCAGGTGTCTAATTTTATAATGCTTTGTGTGATTCCTCAGACTTGTGATGTGTCTAAGATACATTTCTTTTCAAAGTGGTTTGCATGCTACTTTTGGCAGTATAATTATTAAGATACATTATCACTTTAAATCAGCAAGTTACCTTGTACTATCGGCTTATGCTCTATTTCCAAATTTGCTTGTTATGGATCAAAGCTCCCTTCTTCCAGGCTTCTTACAACTTCAATCCACATCTGAAGCAGTGACATGGTTTAACCAATGGATCAGCAATGTTACCAGCTATTCTGAGTTTTCCGTATATGCTCCATCCCGGTGGAAGTGCATATGATGCCCACTTGCCCAGTGTTCACATATTCATTTTCATGTCCGTCTATTGTAAATAGCTCTAGCTTACCTAGTATATCTCTCACCAGAATCAATCTAAAACATGAGGTTGATATTTCGGCAATCCTTGCCAAAATTCCATTTGAAGAAGCTGGAAGCCTGGTACTGTTTCAGAAGTCCTTAGGAAATTTTGTAGGTCATTTATATCATAAGATGAAAGAATTTTTCATGTTGATGAGGTATGGAATACTTATTTTATACTACGTAATTCTGTTCATACACCCAAAATTTTCTTGACCGAACAAATTATGATTGTGAAATAGTGGAGGATACTGAATTTTTTAATTGCCAAGCGGTTCATCTTGAAATCTTGACTACAGGCTCATATTTTGGACTATGTCAAATTGAAAGTTCTTATTTTTATGGTTATCCCATAATAATATGCCACTGAATCCTGCATATACGGGCAGAGAAATGTGTTGGTACCATACTACCATGCAGTAGAAATTCTGGAAAAATTGAAGCTTAGGCTATGCTAAAATTGGGTTAATGAGTTAAGGGAGTAATAAAAGTCAAACTAGGAAAAACATAAGTGATTAGTAGTGATGATATAGGAGATAAGTTGTTTACAAATGAAATACAAGGTAGTTGTGACTCGACACTTGAGGAAAAAAGAGAGATGGAGGAATTATTACCCTCTAGGATTACTATTTACCCCCAATTTGAGAGTAATAGTGCCCTTTTTGTTACATCTACACCATCCCTGCATAATCTTTTTTTTTTTTACAATTACTCCATCAATATTTCATCCTTCTTTATATTTACTTTCATTTTCTTTAGTTTGGTTCCTATTCCCCCTCCTTATACATTACTTTCAATCCAAGCATGTCCTTAATTATTAGTCATTTGAAGGACTGAAGCATTTAGGACTCCCCCGTTCCAAACCCCCCCTCCAACCTTCCCCCCACATAAAAAAAGAACTAATTCTAATCTCCGATTCATCAAAATAGAAGCGAATGGAGGTTGATCATTATCAGATGGAGATGGAGATGAAGACGAAGAAGGATTTGTGTTATCTTTGTTAAATTTTGGGGGAATATCAGTGTATGGGGGTCCTTTAATTATAATTTCCTAGGTACTGTGTCTGCAGATATTTATGCCTGGTCTGGAAATGGAAGCTTGAAGTTTCTATTTTGCAACATTTATTTTAATCTTCTTAAAGCCGAATATTTGTAAAATTGTTACAGTAGGAGGCAAGCAGCTACAGGCCTACAGCCTACCATACATGATGATTAAGGATGTTCCAGAATATCAAGTGATGTTTTGCGGATTTTTGGATAGCTCTTAACTATGGAGTAGGTGTCTATTTCTTTGCCTGTTTGTTTACTGATAGTGTCGCTTCTATGTACTTGCCAGAGGTGAGAGGTACCTTGTCATACTATCATACGTATATCAAGTGCTCATGTTACCCCATGTAGCTGAATGTGCTCATTTTACACCATGTAGCTGAATGCGCTCATTTTACACCATGTAGCTGAATGCGCTCATTTTACCCCATGTAGCTGAATGTGCTCATTTTACTCTATGTAGCTGAATGCGCTCATTTCACCCCATGTAGCTGAATGTTCGTGCAAAGGACATTCCCCGTTAAGCATAGCGCCTGTGTATTGTATCTTTGGATTTTAAGTGTGAGGATTTCTGGAAGAAGCAGGGAATATATAGTACAAGTATTTGTGTGCCAATATTAGGTTCTACGATATTGCTAAAGCTTGTTTTCTGATATTCAGTTATTGGAATTGCGGAGCTGTTATCAATAGATATGGTTTAAGATGTCAAACAAAGGTGACTTCAGCATGAGATAATTCTTATTTTTTTTCTCTCCATTCGTGCTATGAAGTATGAACTTTACTTGAGAATTTAGATGTTGATTTAAATCACCACTTCGGATTAGTGCTGCCAGCTTATTTTTTGCTGAACACGTATTTGACATCCGATTGTTTCTTTGTGTTTTTAGGACAAATTTAGCTTACGTAGGATTTATTTCGAGATCACACGAAAGATTTTTTTATCAAATAAAAGATAAAACGAATATACTACTTAATATTATAATATTATGTTAGAGATTTTATTTATTTATTTTTTTAATTTTTTTGTAGATAATTAAGAAGAAGATGTACTTTCGAACCAAAACCTTGCACAAGTCAACATAGCCTGATTTGGGGAGCAAGATCCCTTAAAAGTACAGTGAAAGGGTAAGAAAATTCCTACCCAAAAGTGCGTCAAATGAGGATAGATCTTACAACCTCGGTTATTACTTATTGGGACTTGATCTGACAATTTTAAATTGCCAGAGTCTAATGGACTTGAGAATCTCCAATCAAAGTACCTGTATTTTACAACTTTAACACTACCCTAAGAGTTGTTCTAGATTTATTTATTTATTTTTTTCTTTGAGAGTTAAAAATGCAACAACAATTGTTGGGAGGGCTTTATGTTCAATTGGCACCTAGGAGTTTAGTGGTCTGGACTCTCGATATTACTAGATATGTTTGTATCAAACTATCAATTGTATGAAAGTTGAATTTCCTTTTTCCCTTTTTTAAAAAATTGTACTCTTTCCATTTTTTTAAGTATCTCATTGGGGGTTTTGGGACTATTTACTAAATATACTTTGACCAATGTTTGTGAATTATATATAAGAAAAAATATAGTCTTGTGGATATTTGTTAGAATCGTCTTAATGTGTAGATAATTAATATTCAATTGTTATATTTATAGCTTATGATGAATAAAGATATTATTAGTCAAAGTTTTGCATCAGTATGTATATCATGTCCCTATATAGCACTTTAAAAAAGCGGAGGAAATACATCCCTCAAACCTCAACCCTTTTAAATTACGAATACACCTTAACAGTTTGCACGATGATAATTGTTAAATAAGTCAAGTCAATGGAAGCCATCATTACATGGAAAGAGCTTACAACGAATTGAAGGCATGAACGTGCAAGAACAATAATCTATTTGGAGCCTAGGCTAATGCATGTAGTTTGCTGATATAATATATATATTGGACGAAGTTTACCTTAGAAGCCATCATTCAACACTAATCGCAATATCACTACCTAAAAGTTTTTTTCTTGTCATATTATTGTACGTGGTTGTATCAAATAATACACATGGAAAGGGCTTCGATGATGTACTTCATGGTCCTCCTTATTGGAATTATGTTGCTTCAATCTTCAGGTATATAATTCGTATTTACTTTAAATGCAGCAAATAAAAGTGCTAAACTGATAGTATTTCAATCACCCAAAAAAAGTGTAATAAGAGGGCAACAATGTAGATAAAATTCAATCATATATCTTAAGTACAGTTCTTGAAATTTTAACCGGCAAATGTAATTGACATCTTAAAAACATAAAATTATGTGTAGTTTATAATACGACTGATCATTTTTGTTTATCGTTGGCTATAGGTGTGACATGTGCAAGGACTACACTCCAAGGGCCAATGAGAATGCTATTGGACTTGCCCATGATGAGAGCCTCTAACTCTGTTGAAGCTTCTGAGGATCCTTAAGATTTTTAAATTGTGTTTAATTGGTTACCTTCCAAATATGGTCTTTGACCCAATTTGGAAAAAGTTCAGATTCTTAACATGATTTCCTTGTTTGATTTTGAATTTTATAGGACTTACTGATCCAACATATTATATCATTTTATTTCGGATTTGCAATTGGTGTTATTGTTAATTTGTTATAGTGGTCTTAAATAAAGCTACGGAGTATATATTATGATTCCTTGTAGTTCTCTATAAATTCACTTGTTTGTCATCAATATTTATTCTTTTTTTTTTTGGGATTCAAATCAATATTTATTCACTTATACGGTAACTCGGATTGTTACGCCCGCGATGCGCGTAGATAGCTAGCCCTTTAAGGAGAATTACTATTGGTGGCCTTTATGCCTTATGCATATTTGCATGGTATTTTATTATATCTATTTGCATAGTAATTTTTAATTACTTATTGATGAGACAGATTGAATAAATTAAACAAGTCATCATATAATTATACACTTGGTAAAAAACGGAGTGTAAAAAATGGAGAATCTAAAAAATGTTTTAAATATTGAAATAAACACAAATAATTAATCAATTTTGGTAATTCAAAAGACAATTTTAGGGTTTTTGAATTCAATGGGGGTATATGTAAAAGAACATTTTTATGGATATAAATGTCCACGCACTATTCATAAGAGTTTTCTTATACTTTTTAAAAGGTAGAGATCAATATAATGATACTTCCTCAATATGTATTAAAGTGCATTATTTTTGACTCTTGTACTATTCACATACTAATTTTGAATTGATTGTATGCTATTATACAAAGGATATTATGTGTTTACTCCAAATTCAGCAATTAAATTTGTATCATAACAATTGAACACTTTCTTTTTATAGATGGTAAAATTATTTCAATCAATTTGTCAATTTACCTAGTCTAAAATCTTTTTTAAATTGCGTATCAAAGTGATGCGTTGTAAGTAAATATAAATGGATGAAGTATATTTCATTAGTTAAAGTCACACGACATCTACAATTGACAATTGGCGATAATGAAAACA